CTGTCTGACCACAGGGTCTTCTTCGTTATATCATTTGCTACTTCTACAGAAACACCATGTCACAGCATTTGCTGACCTATCTGCCCCACTACTGATGTCTGAGACCCAAATGGGTAAAGATGGATTTTCATTTATTCTTGTTTCTCAGCACCTGGCAATCCTGACATGTATTGGATGCTTGCTATTTGTGTGTTGTATGAATAAGGGTCAGAGCAGAAGATGTGGCTGTGGATGAAAAGAAGGCGTGAGGCTGGCTACTGGGCTCCCCTCACTCAGCTGGCCTGGGGGACGTTTTCAGGGCCAGGGGCCAGGTGCCAAGCTAAGGATAAACTGCCAAGTCCCGGTACTGACATGATCACCATTTAACTTGGATAAGAGCAGCTCTGGCCCTCCAGCAGTTGTCCTCAGCCCCATGCCCATTGCCTCTGCCCCAGATGGCTTCTTCCAGAATAGCAGAATAGGTAGTACTTTCCTGGCCCAGGTTACAAAAACCAGGGTTAGCCCAGATACACAGGTACCATGTATCTCAGATTAAGTATGTACCCACGGTCACAGGAAGCAGTCCATTAAAAATTAATGTCATTTCCAAATCAACAATAAGTTTTGGAATTTAACACTGATCATTCATGAGCCTGAAGAAGGGGATGATCTTCCAGCAAATGCTTCCTTTCTCCTGGCAGCCAAGTGGAAACCACGACCACTTCCCTGATGTGCAGCCATGAGTCACAGTGGTGTCTCGCAAGGGATCAGGGGTGAAGCCACCGAGCAGTCACTGAGTTCCAGAGAATCAGGAGAGGGATGAGGCAAGAAGGCAGCCCCCAGGGAGACCATAGCAGGCACCTAGAAGGCACGGGGAGGGCAATGCCCCAGGAAGTGCCCTGCACTTCAGGATAGGACCTGTGCCCCTGAATTGAGGGGCAACTGAATTGAGCCTTAAGAGACCAGTAGCTTTGGTCCTGGGAAGAGTGTGACCCCTGAGGTGGAACCGAAGGCTTCGTGGAGAGTGGCGAGTTCAGAGGCTCTGAGCCTATCTCTCACTCAATTTGTCCCTTGTTCTCTGAGCCTTACAAATCAACGCCTTAGGGACTGAGATTCACGATGGGAAGTGGACAGGCAGGTCTTCTCACTCCCACCTTCACAGCTTCAGCATCCACCTTCATAGTTCACAACATTAGAATCACCTACAGAGCTTTTAAAAAGTACTGATGTTTAGGGCCCAGCCCCTAGAGGTTCTAATTTAATGGGTCTAGATGAGGCCTGGACATTGAGACTTAGAAAAAAAGGACCCCAGGTAACTCCAAGGTGCAGCCAGGGTGTGAATTCCTGACCTAGACCCGGGCATGCTGCACCTCAGCCCCTGCCCCACCTGCCCTCTGCCTTCTCCCCTCCCTTTCCAGGCCCTTCTTCCAGGTGACTCCCACAGCCAGCACCGGCCCACGCCCACCTCTCCCTGCCGAGCCCGGAGCTGCAGAAGGGCAGGAGTGTGGGAAAGCATCTTCAGTCACACCCCTTGTTACTGCCACTTCCTTTGCACCTAATTGCCCTCCTTTTGCTGAGAGTGGGTCAGTGTCACTCTCCCCCTGGGCCCTCGGCTTCTCAAAGGCAGAAACCATGACTTCTGGGTCTGTCTTCTACCCCTAGTTCAGAGCTAGGAACAGAGAACTGCGCACTATTAACAATAAATAACACACTGAGCGTGAGCCAGGTACCATGCAAAGCCCTCTGCATGGATTTCCTTATTTGATCCCTGCAACATCCCAGATAGTTTTGTTCCCACTGAAGAGATGAGAAACTGAGGCTCTGGGTTCTTGGGGCTGGTGCCTGGCCTGAGATTCTAAGAGGGTAGGAGGCTTCCCAGCAGAGGAAAGGAATGCAGCAACATGCAGGTTCAAGGTCCCCAAGGATCTGGAGCAATTGAATTCCAGGAATTACAGAGATAAAAGGGTTTTCTTTGTTCTAATAGCTTCTTTCAGCCAGAACTGGTCATATCTCCCTTGGCCTTTCCTTACTGACATCTCCTTCAAATGTCAGCTCTTCAGAGAAGCTGTATTTGCCGTCCCATTAATAAAATAGTCACCTCCCTGTCTCTTCCCCACCTATCCTGCTGCCTTTCTCTAAAGCGGTGCCTGCCGAAGTGTAGTCCTTGGGCTGGTGCCAGCAAGAAACTGTTACCTATTGATGACAAAAGTTAAGTGCAGACATGGAGAGTAAGTGTTTAGATATGTATATAGCAATTTTCGTAGTACTTCATTTAAATTGTATTTTACAAAAAAAAATTTTCTTGATCTGCGACAGATTGGAAAATTTTCACAGTGGTTCCTTATCTCAAAATTTGAGAGACTGCTCAAAGCACTTATTGCCACCTGACAGTCATGCCTGTTTGTTTTTATTTGTTGTTCGTTATGTCTCCCTTCTACACTGTCCACTTCGCATAACAAGATTTGCTCTGCTTTATTCACTGCCGATTCCACCGGCCTTGAACACTGTCCGGCACATAGTAGGCACTCAATACATATCTGTTGAATGAATGAGTGAGTAAATGAACGAAGCAATCGGTTTCAAGTAGCTCCTATAACTCTCTGGTCACCTTTGGTTATTGAAACTTAATCCAATTCAGTTTAAAACACCAAGCACTTCTATTTCAAATGTCCTCTGCTCCTCGCCCCCAGAACAGAGCTGGAGGGACCTGCAAGGAACAGACCCCACTGTCTTTAACACCTCCCATTGTAGCCTCTGGAAAGGAGTCCTGTCTGAGCCACCTGCTCCCTCTTCTCCCATCAATTACCTCTCCTGAGGTCAGAGGGCAGGGAGGGTGGTGGCAGGAAGACAGAGATCTTTTTAAATAGCTAGACACCTTCTGGTATGAGGAGCCTCGCTGGGTGGAGGCCTTTGCTGGAGAGGCGGTGATGCTCAGCATTGCCCCAGGCAACCTTAGCTCTGCCCCACCCAGTCAGCCCTCATGCTTCTGCCTCCTCCTCCTCAACTCTCGGTTCCTTCACCCAGAACCACCAAGATTCTGGCCTCACTGACATCCTCCAAAAGCTCAAAGCTTTTCTTCCCAGGCCGTCCACCCCATGGTCTCTACTCATCCTGCTGGCACGCACTGCTCCAGCCAGCTGCCAGCCTCCTGAAACCTGCAGGCCAGAAACAGGGCCAGCCTCTGTGCTCCCTGAACTCAAGTCCAGGTGCTGCAGCAGTGGCCCAGTGACATGAGCCTGCAGATGCCATAGCTCGACAAGCCTTCCAGCTGGGAAGTGAATGCCAGTCTCTCCTCTCAGGCACTTCCAGTCCCTATGAATGAATCTTTCAGGGCCTCCTGACTTGCCTTCGGTCGGGGAGCACCCTTGCCTTCTCAGAGAGGGGAGGAAGTCCCCCGTCACCATTAGAGGTCCCAGAGAGCTGACCGCTGAGCTTCCCTCCCAGCCTTTCTTCTATAGACCAAGGCAGTGGTAGAGGGCTAGTTCCCCTCTCATAGGCCTTGAAAAAGAGTCTCTCTGCCCTTTTGTTGGTGGTTCCATTTAGGATGTAGAGTACTTGATATCTCTTCGTCCCCAGATTTGAGTTGTGGCCATTGGAAGTCCCCCCTCAAAATCTCGCCACACTTGGTTTCATGTTGAGAAACCCAGCCCTTACAGGCAATGAGGTCGGAGGGACTATGATAGATTCAAACAAAGGAATGGCCATATTGGATTAGAGAGCTCACTTCAGAGGTAGTGTTGGAGCCAAGGTAGGAGAGCTGAGACCTGTGAACTTTAACAACTCCTGGTGTCAGGGTCCCAGCCGAGGTAGTGTTGGAGCCAAGGTAGGAGAGCTGAGACCATCCTCAAACCAGGCAACCGGCCCCTGCCGTGGGCCCGACACTTTAGAGAGTCTCACTTTAACCCTCCTCTGGCCATGCTTCTCTCTGGGGTGAGGACTCTGCAAAGCCAAGGGGTCGTGCCCACCACCATGATCCTGTGCCAAACTCTAGACCACACCCCAGGTGTCTGAGATTCTAGAATTGCCTGCAAAATGGCCCAAGCCCACTTCTGGCCCCTGCCTGGGCTTCTCCCCATGTCCATCCTCCTAAGGGCTGATCACACAGCCATTATTTAGAACCCTAGGGCCAAGAAGTGGCCAATGGGGGCTGTTTGCAGAGTGTGAACAGGTGGGGAGCCCACACATGTGCAGGCCGTGAGCCAGAGCCTTCCAGTTTCCTAATGTCCCCGGCCTTACAAATGCTAAGGTTAAAGCAGTGGTTCTCTCACCTTGGGGTCACCTGGTGAACTTTAACAACTCCTGCTGTCAGGGTCCCAGCCACCCTCATTCTGAGCAGATTGGTTTGAAGTAATGAATGAGTTAGGCTCCCCAGGTGCCTCTAATGGGTGGCCAGAGACATGGAGGGAGAGATGCTGCCACAGTCCAGGCAAGAGGAGCAAGGGGCGAGAGGAGGGACTGCATGGAGGCCTGGGGAGGGGACCTCAGCGGCTCTCCCTGGTTTCTGCGTGGGTGGATGGAGGTGCCCCTCATGGAGGAGGGAAGGTGGGGAGAGGCCTCTGTGTCGGGGAGTGGATCTGAGCTGAGTCTGTACATGCGGAGTTTAACACGCAGTTGGATAATGGCCTGGATCTCCACTTGGGAATTACCAGGACACAAATGGTGGCTGAAGCCACAAACTTGGCTAAAAGCAGAAGGCGTATTGGGCTGAGAGGAGAATTTCCTTTGTGCCCTCCAAACTCCACCCTCCGTCTGCCAATCCATTTCTCCATCCTAGGCCAGAGTCAGCTTAGCAGTGGAGGGGTGTCCACGGTTTGGGAGGGAGCAGGGTTCTTTATCAGTTCACCCAAAGCAGGCTGGTTGTGGGAAGACCTTGATGACGATCTGAACGCTCTTCTTTCCCCTTTCACTCCACCCTTGCTCCCCCACTCCCCACACCCCTACACCCTCATGTCCTCCCTCTCCTTTTCTCCTCCTGTCTGCCCCCTTTGCTTGCCTGGCACCCTGGCCCTCTTTACCCCAAGGTGAAGGTCTGGTTCCAGAACCGCCGCACCAAACAGAAGAAAGACCAGAGCAGAGACCTGGAGAAGCGGGCATCCTCCTCGGCGTCCGAGGCCTTCGCCACCTCCAACATCCTGAGGCTGCTGGAGCAGGGCAGGCTGCTGTCTGTGCCCAGGGCCCCCAGCCTCCTGGCACTGACCCCCAGCCTGCCGGGCCTGCCTGCTGGCCACAGGGGCACCTCCTTGGGTGACCCCAGGAACTCATCCCCGCACCTGAACCCACTGACCTCAGCCTCTGCATCCCCTCCGCTGCCACCTGCTCCTCCAGCGCTCTGCTTTTCCACGGCCCCACTCCTGGACCTGCCTGCCGGCTATGGACTGGGCTCCTCAGCCTTTGAGCCCTACAGCAGGCCCTACAGCCGGCTAGAACGGAGAGTAGGCAGCCCCAGTGGTGCCAAGAAAGCTAACGCTTAAGCCTCCGCCCCCATGTGACACTTCGTCCCCAAGCACAGCACCACCCCACCTCCCAAGCCCAGAGGAGGTGGGCAGCCACAAGCCTCCACCGACCTGCCCCACAGCTCAGAGACTGTCGACCGTGACCAGACAGCCGTGGTCACGCAGCTCGTGTGTGTGAGTGCCGTGTGAGTGCGTGCGCCTCTCACTGAAATAAACGGATAACAATGACAAGAAGGGAACCAGAGTCCCCACAGCTCCACCGCTGCCTCTCTACCCTCTCGATGGGAAGGAAAATGGACTCGGGTCAGGGGGACCTTTCATGGGAAGGGGCAGAAACTGGGGCTATGTCCACAGCGATGGGGGGACCTGACTCTCACTCCAGGTTAGAGGTCCCGGCCGGGGCATTCCCAGCCCACAGTGGCAGCACCGGTGCTTTTCTGGGGTAAGCATTGCCCTTGGCAAGCTCCTCTTTCAAACACAAAAATACTTGAGCAGAGAGATGTGAAGTCCTTCGAGAGGGTGCATCCAGAGAACCCGAGAGAGGGAAACCCAGGTGAGACCTCACCTGCTTTAGAGGGCCCGCCCCTCATAGACACAGCAATATGAAGCACTTAAAATTTTTTTCGTTGCTCAAATAAGAAACATTTATTTAACAGTTAATTTTGTAATAATTGTAGATTTATAGGAAGTTGCAAAGATAATCCAGAAAATTCCTTGTACCCTTCACTCAGTTTCCCCCAATGGCCCAATCTTCCATAACTATGGTATAATACCGAAACCAAGAAATTGACATCGGTACCATGTGTGTGTAGTTCCATGTCATTTCATCACTCGTGTGAGATTCATGGAACCACCGTGGCCATCAAGAATCAGAACCCTCCATCACCGCAGGGTCTCCCCGCACTACCCCTTCCTAGTCACACCTACCCCTGCATCAGCCCAAAAGAGTTCTCTGAAAGAATGGGATTTGTGAGAGAGGACCAGAGACCTGAAATGGATCCTTAGGCCAGAGGATAGAGGGTAAGATTTGGACTCTGTGGGGAGAATTGGTCTGCTCCAGTCTGCTCTAGGAAACACATATTTGGTTTCAAATTGGCTGCCCTGAATAACCCAGAATGGGGTGCTGGGAGGGAAATCCTAAGTCTGGAATGAGACGTGTGGGTGACTGGAGCAGACCTTAGGTTGAGAGGGCCCAGCCACCCCCACAGCGTGCACCCTGCCCTGCTTAGCAGACCTGTGCCAAGCTCCGCGGGCCCAGGGGAAAGCACAAGTCCTTTAGTCGCCTGGAACAAATGTTCCTCCATTTGTGCTTTCTCCCCTGCGTTAAAAAATGTCATGAGCGTCCTGCTGCACGGGACCCCGGAGGTGAAACATAAGACGGTGAGAAAGGGTCCTAAGATCATAGGAGAGAGACCTGCCTTGATTCTCGGAGCTCTCAACATTATGAGACAGGTCTTAAAAAGCCAAGTCCAGAAGAGGAGACACAGACTCAGCTCTGGGGGCTCATGGCCTGGCAGCAACAAAGAGAACTCTCCAGAATGGTGTGAGGGTTAAAAATAATAACAGTACTTTTCTTCCCATTCTCTAAGTTCTTCTAACTGGGCTAATAATCTAACAGAGACAGATTAACAGGAGAAAATCAAATTTTAATATGTACACACAGGGAATTCATATAAACATGAATATTTCAAAGAGAATGAGGCAAAATCGGATAAATGTCACTTCAGACGAAGAAGAAAAGAGGGGTGACCGGTTTTAGATTTTAAAAGTAACAATGGGCTATTTGCAGGTAACTGAGGAAGAGCTGAATATGCATGGCAGGTAAATTTTTGCTAGGCAACCCAGAAAACAATGGGGGGGATCTAATTACCTGGTTCCTGCTTGGAGTCTTCCTGTCCAATGCTAAGGTGATTATGCTAAGGTTTCCTTCCTGAAGCAGGTTTTGCCATCTGATCTCTTAGGCCAAAAAGGAGTAGAGTCAAAGGTTCTTTCGGAGTCTTTTGTGTGCTGTGACCATAGGGTGCTGGAGGATCCAAGGAAGGCTGCCTGTAGGTGGCACTGAAGCTGGCCCAAGAACGGTCCTCTATAGATGTTCAAAAAAAGATGATGATGGAATTGTTCAGGAGAAGAAGTACCCTGGTATGGTCAAGGCAAGGGGTGCAGGGTGAGGACAGGCTGTGAGGACAGTGAGAAGATCTGAGGAGAAAGCAGCCTGCCAGAATCGGGGGCGCGGGGCTGGGAGGGGAGACCAGGAAGAGATGCAGAGATGTGGTCAGGAGCATGGGGCTGTGAGAGCACCTGAAGTACTAGGGGGAGGAACTGAGTTCACACTGGCTGCAGGTTGGGGGCAAAGGAACGACCAAGGACAGAGGTGAAAGAAACCAGCTGGACCTTTCTGCCCCTCCCCTCCCCTGCCTTCCTGCTCTGGGTGGCCTAGGGCACCTCCCAGATCTGGAAGAGCTCCAGGAAACCGGCTTTCCTTGTTTATAGTCAACTAGGAGGAGGAGAAGAGGGGAGAGGGAAGGGGTAGCCAGAGAGGCAGGCTGGTGCTAGAGTGTTGGACCCGCCTCAGCAGGCTCAGGCGCTCTGCTCCAAGCCTAGCACCTCATTATGGCCATGGAGGTAGACAGTAGGCCTGAGGGGCTCCCCAGCAGTGTCTGCGACCTAGGCACAGCCTATGAGCACAAGCAGGTGGTCACCCGAAACTACATCACCCACCCGCGTGTCAGTGAGTACGACCCCTGGCGGGTGAGGTTGGGGTGGGCTGCTGTGTCCTCAGGCGCTGCCCTTCAGCTTCAGGGAAACTGGGGGACCAGAGGCCTCGCAGTCCTGTGGCGTTCTTGGTCCAGTGGAGTGGCACAGGCCGCCTGGACAAGGGGCCACCTCTGCAAGGGGAGAAATGGGGGTTCTTCTGCACAGGCTATCCTAGAGAAAGGGCAAGGGAGTAGTCGCAGGAGCCTCCCTGTCATCACTCTGATCCTGCACTGAGTCCCCAAGCCAGAGACAGCCACAACTGCCCCTGAGAGAGAGAGAGAAAGAGAGAGAGAGAGAGTGCATGTGTGCATGTACACGTGAATATGTGTTTGAGATGTGTGTGTGTGTGGACACCAGAACACTCAGCACAGTATGATGTACGATCAAGTGTTCTTGGGGGATGTGTGGCAATGCAGAATGGTGCATTTTCAGGACGGAGTAATACTTGATACTGTGTGGGTCATGCCAACTGGTGCATGTCGTATGTGCGTTCTGGGAAAGGGTGTCTATGTGTAACCAGGGGAAGACCTGTGCCTGGGTTATGTGTGTGCTCCCCCTTCACTTGGGTGAGGATATGTGTAAATATGTGTGTGACAGCTTGAGTGTGTATGATCAAATGATCAATACTTGAGTGTGTGATCAAAGTGAGGAAATATGTGACTGCGCATGCTTGTACTCTCAGGGTGAGGGGTTGTGTGTGTGTGTGTGTGTGTGTGCTCGAGCGTGCATGCTCATGGGTTGAATACGGTGAATGTGTGGTCAGGTGATGTCACATGTCTGTGTGCGTGCAGTTGGGGGAGGGCTAGTGCCTGGCATCCAGGCATAGAGGTGCATGTGCTGGAGTATACCCTTGTAGGAGGCAGAAGGGGTGTCCCTGGGCAGCTTTAGTACCTGTCTTGTATGAAGGGGTGGGCCAAGTTCAGATGTCTGGCCTCAAGGACCAAAGGGAGCTCCCCACCCCTGCCATCTCTCCTTGTTCAAGGTCACTCTCCCTGGCCTGGCTCTGGAATCCTCGGACAGCCCAGCTCACTGGAGTAAACCGGCCTGGCCAGCACTAGCTAAGCAGAGCCAGAGGGTGTGTATGAGAAGAAACTGGCTTAGCACAGCCACTTCTTCCTCCCCCTGCAGTTACATGGCCCCATGTGGGGAGGAGGAGTGATCTGAGAGGGAGCTGACTGCTGAGTCAGTGAGGAGCCCAGGGGTTATAAGGCACCTCCTGAGGCCCAAGCAGGTACTGAGGGGTGGAGAGCATTCCAGCTAAGGAGAAAGAGAGGAGTGATGTCAAGTTGATCGAGGTGGCCCCGCAGGCCCCGCCTGTGGAGGTGCAGAGAGGATGGAGGCCCAGATTCACCCCTGGGGCAAAGCAGGGGTCACCAAGGCCTAGAACTATACAGTGACTAGTAGTAGCCCCTTGGGTCTAAAGCCCAGGCCTGGAGACTGAGCGGAGCTGGTTGACTTTTGTCCAGTCTTGTGTGATGGCCCACCCCTGCAGGCTCCACCCCCTGCATCCCTCCTCCCTGTGAGAACAGGGTCTTGAGTGGAGTCCAGGGTCTAGACCTACATGCTTTGCTTTCTTTCTCTCTGGAAGGTGTGCTCCCATGAACCCGGCAGGGTACAACCTTGCCCTAGGGCCCCTCCCAGCCAGTCCCTTATTTATAGTCAACATACCCTTCAGGTTTGACCCAGGCTAGAACCCAGAGGTAGCAGCACCCCCGTGTTTGCAAGTATTTTGCTCCATGTGGCCCCCACCCAGACATACGTGTTCACACACAATAGTGACCCAGAGACAAGGGTTAGTGCGAGCAGAGTCCCTTTGGCTCCAGGGCTATGGCAAAGACGTTACTGCCACCATTGCTTTTGCTGCACATCAGTGTCCTCATAGGATACACCCAGAGGCCAGCCCCAGCCCAGCCCTGACACCTCCCACCCCCAGGGCCAGGCTTCCTCAGGATGCTTCAGTATCTAGGCCTTTAACCAATTCCCGCCCTTCCCTTCTCAGGTGCCTGAGGGGTTCTCTCTCCGCAGGGCTATGGACAGGTTCAAAACCCAGATCTGTTGCCCTGAGTAGGCTGGAGGCAGGACCCTTGTGTCATCTCTGCCTTCCTTCCTCAGGCTGGCCTCCTATCGGGGGCCTCTAAGCACTTCCAGGCAGGAGAACTTTGAGTAGAGACAGAAAGAGCCTAGGAAGGCAACTGGCTTCCAGCCCCAGGGTCCGTGAGGAGGAGGAGGTGGACTAAATCAGCCTGAGGCACTGCAGTGGCTAGGGAGGGAAGGGGCCAGAAAGGAGCAGGCAGGATGGAATCAGGATGAGGAGTGAACCCCAGCAAAATTCACCCCAGGAAAAAAGGGACTCCTTTGCCCCCCTCAGAGCCAGAGTGGTTTCCCCAGAGGAGGAGACGGCATAGAGCTTTGTCTGGTCCTGGGAAGAGGTTGCTAGCCTCATGGGTTGTGAGGTGTGGGGCACAGAATGAGCAA